CTCTGCTGGTGCCTGCTGTTGCTGCTGTTCATCGCCCTCCCCTTCAACCGGTGTCTCATCTTGCGGGCGCAGGGTGGCTTTTTGCTGCTTGGCTGCTTCGAGAGCAGCAGCGAGAGCTTCTTGTCTATCCTTTTCCAGTTTAAACCACTTGAGAATGGTAGCTGCGTAGCAGAATATCTATCGATAAAAAAAAAACAGACCACTGATTACTGACGAGGTCAAATAAGGCAAGGATTTTCGTATGTAAGTCCACTGCAAAAATAAAACACAGAGTCTCTTGTATAACGGGGAGAGTACTAATATTATATTTTATGTTCAACAGGGCAGGTGAGGGATGCAATACGCCCACTGCTGGCAAATGTTTATTTTATAACTCCAATGAGGGACTGGAACAGGCGCGCAATATACAGTACGGCCTAGAATTCGTGTAACATGCCAACAGATGCGAAATATTGATACTCTTTCGTTTTCGTTTCAAAAAAGTTCGTAATTACGAGCTTTTTTTACGATTGTGAGTTGTTCATTCATTATACATCACATCCGTCAATTTAGTAATGCTGTCTATAATTTATACAGCATGTTCCACATCTCTTGCAACATTTATGAGAACTGTGTGTCTTCTTCTTCCACCCGTAGGCAAAAACGTACTTTTCCTTAAACAGCATGTACATGTAAGCCCTGAATTCAAGTGTAGCAGTCAGTAGGTTTAAACATTATTTGGCAATTGAGGAACCTTTTAGAACCGAAAGATACCCTTTCTTTAAGTATAAAATTTAAAGCAGGCGCAATTTGCTACCAAACAAGTAGAAGAAATATTTTTTCGTGCATGGTTCCCATAAAATATATTTCAATTTGAATTTATAAAGGCAGTCAAAATCAATGATAGGATTGCATACTACTTAAGCAACCACTTTTTACCGTACATACGTTTTTTTAGTGGTCAGAAAGAAGCTCGTTAAAAAACCGGCATCCTATCGTGAATGAAATGACTTCAGAATAGACTATACGATAATCAGTATTATAACCTTACTCAATACCGTTTAGCGAGAGAGTATCAATCTTTCGCATATGTTGGCATGTTGCACGAATTCTAGGCCATACTGTATAGTTCATCGCGTTTTAACATACACACACACCAACTACTTCCGCCGCCTTTGCCCTTCGATGCAATTTCTTATCCGCTGGGTATTTTTTCAACTGAAAGCGTGTAAACAGACGTAAAATCTAAGGTTACTGGTCAAGAAGATTGGATAGGGTAAGGCAGTCTGCAGTAGGCAAGCTTAATCCTAACACTAACCTTAAGCCTAACTCTATACCTAACTCTAGTTTTTAAGCCAACCCTAGCCGTTACTTATCCCTCAATCATTGTACTAAGCTCAGCGAGAAACGTATCCCTAATATAACATGCCTACCCAAATGAAATAAGCAGGCATCTTACGGTCACAAAAAGGCGGGGGCTTAAATATGATTTTTACAAAAAAGGTAATCCAGAAACGGCCCGCTGGCTATTAATCCAGAAAAGCGGAAATTGGTAGATAGAGACAATTTAGTTTTCAAGCATTAGTCCAAGCCTTTCAATAACAACGGTTTCCTTTCAATGTGATCAGAATACAAATTAAGGGCTGATGAGAGAAATAATGGCTTTATAGAAATCTGTAAAAACTCTGTGGAGGTAATTTGAATCTCCGTTTTTCTATTTTTGTCTCTTTACACGCTAGTGAATGTTTGCGTACCTGTTGCGTGTAGGGACACGGTAAGATCCGGAAATACTGAGCAAGTTTGTTGACTTTTGCATTTGTCCCACCAGTATTCTCCGCCATCACTAAGTCCTCTGAAAAACTAAACGATGGGCAAGAACAAATTCACAATGTTGTGATGGGTAAAATAAACCTTTTAATTACTTACAATAATTATCGTATACTTTTGCATTTAGACTAAGAACGAATGAGAAAAAAGGCCAAAAGTTTGCACATTAGTTATTTTTGGATGAATTGTTTGGTTCAGTTTCATTTGGGGAATGTTAGGTGAATATCTTCGAACTATCTGTTGGTTACGATAGGCGAACTCTCCTATCTTCATATATGTGCTTATTTTGTTCACATCCAGTAGGATCCAACCAAAAGATAAAACGTGCGAATCCAGAAGGAGCGTAAGAATTCACGATCTCTGGAACGGTATTTTTATTCTGAGCTTTCGGCTCCACACGAGAAGCCATCGTC